TTAGGGGTCCTGGGTAAATGTTTACTACAGCCCTCCTTTTTCTCAGTCTGGTTGTTTGCTCAGCATAAGGGTTTGTGTTGTACAGCTTTGGCAGCAGATTTGTTTAGATTAATGCTCATACATATACAGTCTTTCCAGAGCATCCATACTGCGGTCGTGTCTGAGGGGAAATTTCTGATTTTTTTTTTCTCATTTCTATTCCGAGTGTTGTTTCAAAGTCCTGTGCACTCTGCAGGGCTGGAAAGAGCATGTCATTAATGTCTTCTCTCCAAAGAGACTGGCTTTGACGCTGAGTTTATTTTATTATCTGGCTAAGATGCGTGTAACGCACAGTGTCGCGTGCACACAGCAGCTCGTCTGTTGCAGCCTCTGCTGTCGTGTCGTGTCAGAGTGCATTGATTACTACTTTCACGCTCGCGGTAGAAAGGTGGAGGGCAGGTTGGCTCTGATTTCCTCCTCCACACTGCTCTGTCTATCTGCCTCTGCTCTGCCCAACAGATCCTCTTCCTCTCTTTCTATTTCGGCTCTGCCCTCTTTACTGCTTCTGTTGTCTTTATTTCTGCCTGCCCTCATTTCGTCCTTTTATTTTTATTTATTTGCTCTCTTCACATGTTTCTGTGCACTTTTACGACCCCCACACGGCTCATCCCATCACTAACACAGCAGCAGTGTTCAGCTTTATGCTATTAGTGTGATATAAACTGGTAGCAGGTGGCCTTTGTTGTCTCTAAATTAAAAATATTTACTTGTGTCTTGAAAATTCCTGAAACAAGATATTGATTTCACACCACTGGAGTGTTTTTGTTGAAGAAAAAAATCATTTTCACGGGTGGATTTGAGGGTGCATGGTACATTTCTTTAAGTGTAAATGCTGTTTCAGAAGCTTTTATACCCCGAGGAAGAAACGCAGCTCTCTGGAGAGAAGACTTCTGAATGTCTGGCTGCACAGAGTTTCCTCTCTTGCATAGAAGAAATTCCCTAAACCCAGTGTTCTGGTGTGGCCCGGCCTCCTTGCATGTGTTCCTCGTGTCCTTATTGTTGGTGTATAATGGTTGCTGCTGCCTCTTTGTCTGAGCTGAGAGCAGAAGTGGAAGGACCCTGACCTCCCCTCCCCCTCTTCTTCATCATTTCGCCTCTGCTCCTCCTTTCTGGACTTTAATGATAAAAATCTGAGCTATGTTAGTCATTTTCTGGCTGAGCGGCAGCGCGCCGCTGACGAGTCGCGATAAGGAGGGGCGTGTTAGCGAGACAGAGGGGAGAGCAGCTTATAAAGCGCACCATGTAGGAGTTGAGTTTGCCTGGCAACAGGTGAAACAACGGAGATAAGACGCCTGTAGTGGTGTGGTTTGAATCTTTCTCACTGCTAGCTGCTGCTTCTTCACCTGCACCTGCTGCCACCCTGGTTGCTCATGACGAGGCGTGGATCACGTTGACCCCGCGACTAATAAGCCAAACCGTCATAAAAAATGCATGGAGTTGATCTGCAATTAAAAACAGCCTCAGGTTTGATGTTGTTGACAGTAAAGTGGCAGAGCGAGGGCTGACATCTCGAAGCTTATCTCTGCTTGAAGGTGCTCACGTTTTACTTTATTGCACATGTTGTCTGTGTTTTTGAGCAGTGGGCTGTGGATGAGGCTTGCCAGATGTCAGGGGTTGATGTGGGTGTACGAGTCGTGATGGGGTGACGGTCGCCTGCCAGACCAGATGGTTTCAGTCGCCGTGCAGGGGGAGCACAGTCAGAGCTGAAGTGAGAGACGCTTCATTCAAAGGCGGCTGATCGCTGCTCTTCAGACGTGCACGCTCAGTAGCTCAGAGATTTAACTCGGCGTAGTTGGAGGTCCAACAGGCAGGAAGAAGCAATTTAACTTGGTTCACAAAGGTCTTTGCACTCTAGCTCGAAGAGGAGATGAATGCTTTCCAATGTTTGGAACAATTAAATTTAAACATTTCCACTCCCACAAGTTTCCATAAATGGATCTTGATGCATCCCTGCTCCACATTGTTTGGACGTGATCCAGGCTAGGCTTGCTTTGCATGTGCTCTGGCACTGGCAGCATCACCCGATGCCAGAGCAGCTTTTTCATCCCTAAATGCAGCCATCGCAAACGAGGATTAGGTTTTCTTTTGACGGCCTATTATCAACATATTGATTCATGAAGTGGGAGGTCAGATGTATTATTTAATTGGTATTACTCCAACACACATATCTGAACTTGTGCATTTCTAAAATGCACTCATCTGATGTTCTTTTTTATTTGTACTCTCATGTACTTAATTTGTTCTAGGTTTATTTATTTAGGGTGCGTATTATATAAGTGTTTCTTTGAAGGGGCAGCACACTGATTTTTGCTAATGAAGCTGAGTTTACACATCAGGAGGAGCTTTAATTAGAGACCCCCTCTAGTGAACATCAAGTTGTTTTTTTTACCCTGTTAAAGTGTCATGATCGTGGTTTTTATCAAACACGTCTTGAGTGGACTAAGCAGTCAACACCACAGCAGAGCATTTCCACCAGTTTACCGACGACGGTCTCAGAAAGAAATATTCCGACTTGCAGGGTTTTTGGGCCTTTCTGTACCACTGTTCCTCTTCACACTTAGTTTCTGTGTGGCTGAATTACTGCAGCTTGTCATCATGTAGTGCAGAGTGGTTTTACAGTGTTTGAGCAGGCGTGCTCAAGCTGCAGCGAGGAGGGTGGCGTAGAGGCAGGAAGCAATGGTGTGCAGGTACATCTGGGTCATTTTAACGCTTCTTCATGGAAGAAACTTTCAGATGTATAACTGTGATGAACATAGATGATTCTGTTCTTATGTGGAGCAGCTTTCTTTCTTCTGAAAATTTGTATTTCAATTTGAGCTGTGTGGTTTTTTTTTTTGCTTTTCTGTGAAGATAATTTGGAGCTAGACTCTTACTGCAGACTTTATTTCTGCACCTGTTGCATCTGTTTTGATAACTCTTCTACATGTGTTCCCCCCTGTCCATCTCAGTCAACTCATTTAATTTAGAAATAGGTATTTAAACGTTTTTGTTAAAATTGTACACTATGTTTTGTCACTTATAATGTGTATATTATTTTGTCACATCTACTTTACAGTATTTCATGTAGTTTTCACTGGATGAACTTAAAGCGTCTGTTTTAGATCATCCTGAGAGTCCGTTTACATCATCGTGCTGGAAAATACTTCTACCCAGAGAACAGGTTTTTTTTCCTGCCGTTTTTTTCTTCCTCACTGTTTTCTGAAGGTTGTCACAAACTCTGGGTATTCCTGCATCATCTCACAGGGGACTAATTATGACAAAAACTAATCAGGAGAGGGGAATAAACTTTTTTTTTCCTGTTAAGAACGAATCACTCTTGACAACCATAATATCATAAATTTGGGTTTGAAAGAAGTTCCACAGAAGAAACAGTTTATTACTTCCAACATTGATAATGACACACATCAGAGTGCGATGCAGAGATAAAAAGAGATCCTCCTTGAGGGAAAAGGGCAGGATTTATCTCACAGACTGGCCTAGTTTTAAAATGCCAAGTATCTTTACCAGGACTGGGAGGACTTGAAGGGGCTCCCAGAGGCTCCTGCAGGTGAAGCTGCTGCAGTGGTGGCAGCGAGCCGGTACAACGGACTGTCAGTTACTCCAACAGGTGTTGTGAAATCAGAGCTGAACGTGTTTTAATTAATGAATTGACAAACTTTATTTCATGTGATTACTTTTTTAAAAAACAGATTAGTACCGACTGTTGTGTCGAACAAGTCTGGGTCGTCTGTCTTAGAAGTCTGTCCTAGATTACTTTGCAAAAGTGAACATGCAGGATGTCTGTAAGACGCAGATACCTACCGAGAAATAATGTATTTCACCATTTTACTTTATTTTACAGATAAGAGCCAGGTTTAATGCAGAAAAAACAAATGATTAACTTTAACACCGGGCTGGAAAGGGATGTTTAATTCACGTCTTCTGGTTAATTATCCAGTTGCACCTCTGAGCACATGTAAAAAGAACATCCTGACAGTAAAGTGTGTGTGTGTATATATATATATTAACCACAGAGAGGAACAGCAAAAACACATTGTACTGGGATAAAGTTTAACATTCAGGAGTGCTGACTGCTGTGTCGATGGATCCCCGGGTTGTAAGACATCGATCGAATACTTCAGGATAGGATCATCAACGACAAGAGAAAAAAATGAAAGACTATTTCACTTATATCTAATTTGGCGCTCCTCAAACTTTAAACCCTCTCTGGTTGAGCCTTCAATTCTAATGCAAAATCAAACAGGCAGGTTTGTGTTGTATGTGCGACATACGTTTTGATTTTATGGTGGATTTTTTTCCCCTTTTTGGCCCCATTTTAAGTACATAATGTAGAGCAAAGTGTCTACAAGAATCCTATAATAAAACACAACATGAAGTGGCCGTGCTTTTGTGATTTCTTCTGCATAAAACCTTCATGTAAACCACTATTCTAATTAGTTGGTACAATTCAAGCCATCAATACAGATTGTTGTGCAGAAAGCCGGCACATGAAACCCAGGAAAATTACACCCTCTGCTGTTCTGATGGTTTATACGTGTAACGACAAAGAAGATGCCACACACTGTGTTGTTTTTGTCTCTTTGATTCTTGCTTTTGTACACTTTGTCTTGAATGTTCTGGATGAGAAAAACAGTGGTTAACATGTGCAAAGAAGATTTTGTGATGGAGACAAGAAGAGTGTTTTGGTAAACATGTAAGCGAGCGTCTGCGTAACACGATCGATGCTCCTGTCTGGCTCGGTTTGTAGCCGTTACTCACTGTACAGTCTGCAGGTTCAGGTGGGTCACCAATATATGATCATCAGTTTTGTGCTGCTTGATGCGAGGAAGATGATTCCAACACATTTCTAAGACTCTTGTGCTTTATGAAATATGTAGCTTAGCAACACCAAATATCATCACAGGCAGCGTTTGATTATCGGCTCGTTACACCGACAAGCAGTGGCACCGAACCAAGAAGAGTTTTGGTCTCACTTTTATTGGCAAAATATTCACATTGAAAAGTAAAAGGCATTGTTGTGGCACTGGTTTCACAGAGGCTCACAGCACTAACAAACACAGTTTATTTAGTGCACATGCATCATGCTAGATTCAAAGCCCTTACAATAATCACAGTTCTTTGCACTTCGACTTAGCTTGACATTTGGATGTGAGGCTTGTTTGTCCATCCAAGGCGACCTTAATGAGCTGTGGTTTTCCCTTCAAGCTCCAGAGAAGCTAATAAACTAAACACAAGCTATTAAACCAACTAAACACAGCACGCACGGTGTATAGCAACGCACACACACAGACTGTAGTAGAAGCTGAATGGCACCTCGGTGCACGTCACGCCTGGTTTTCGAGGGCTTTTGCGGCCGTTGACAAAGCAGCAGAAGCTTTGCAGAAACAGACCCACTGATAAAGCTGTCGATGTTTCTCAGTTTCCCGTTTGTTTTCTATAAAGAAGGATTCACGTTTGGCTCTTCTTCCGTGTTACTGATGCTTTGTGCGATACCTAACCGGATGCAATTTAGATGTCATTAATGTTAAGATGCTTCGGCTCGCTTTGAATGCTGTTAATACTAGCTTACAAAGCAGTGCAAAGGTTGATGCCAAAATGCCGTTCTACTGATACAGATCAGAACTTCTCACGTCTCGTGTTTGTAAACCACTTGTTGTGCAGCAACGATAATAAACACAGTTCTGTGAAGCGGTCCGACCCACCTGTCCTCCTCCTCCTACCCACTGACACATTACAGCTTCGAACATCTTACAAGACTTTCAAACCAATGCCTTACATTAGCAGTGTGGATGTGGAATCAGGCACTACTCTTCCCCCTCTCTGCCTCCCTCTCTCCTCCCCTCTGTTTCCCGTCTTTCTACTTGACAAAGTGCAGGGCCTCGGCCGCCACCACCGAGCCTTTGCTGCTGTCAAGGCTGGTGACCATCTTGAAGCCGGATCTTAACGCTAGCATCACTGTTTCTAGTTTCAGACAGTCAAGTGTGCACAGGAATGTGCTGTCCTCCTTCAGCACGAGGCGCGAGCCGGGCTCCGACTTGATGAAGTGTCGGAACTGGATCACGTTGGACGACACCACGAACTCTTCCGGAAAGCCGTCCAGCCGGCTCTTGGAGATCTGCACCAGCCGCGCTTTGACTTTGTCGATGAAGCCGGCGTCGCTGCAGTACACCTTGAGACCCTGCGACCTCTCGTGGCTATCCGTCACCTCCAAAAACGCAGGTTCCCGCAGGGCTGCCCTCTGGCTCTCCCACTCCACCACGGCCTCCACCAGTTCAGTCAGACGATAAAAATCTGCCTCCCGTCGCAGGAGCCCCGCCTCCCGGAAGTCATCGGGCAGCTGCAGCTCTCCGGTGCGGAGGTAGTTGAGCACGTGGCGAAAAACCGGACCGTCTCTGTCGATGAAGGGGTTGCCCATGGAGTCGGTGTGCTGAACCGGCTTCTTGCCGTTGGCCAGCTCTTCCAGGAAGGACCCCTGCTGCTTGCCGAGGGTGGTCCGGTGAGCCGTGTACAGGAACCCCCCTACGTTAAGGGTGATGGTGCCTGAGGAGGGCTTCTTGAAGCTCTTGCTGGGCTGCAGCAGGTCCGGGTTGATGTGCCTCAGTTCACTTTCCATCCTTCTGAGGTTCCATTCCATTCTCCAGTCACCCTCTCCAGCCTCGACCCAGCCTCCTCGGAGCTGGTGTGTCTGCGCGTCGGTGTGTGAGCAGGACGAAAATCGGATTTTTCTCTTTCTTTTTTTTTTGTCTTCGCTTTTAGGTCTGACTGTGTAGGTCTTTGGTGCGGCTGAGAAAATGGAAAGGTGTTGTCAGCTGTCGTTGCAGTGAGAGTGGATGTGTTGGAGAGTGTGTGATGGTGGATGGATGAGTGCTGTCTGGCAGAGAACTGGGAGCTGAAAACAGACTGGCTCTGTGTGCAGCTCCGTGTCCCTCCTCTCTCTCTCTCCCTCTCTCTCTCCCTCTCTCTCTCTCCCTCTCTCTTACCCTCTCTCTCTCTATAAGTGGGTGGGCAGACAGCGTCACATACAGGGAGGAGAGCGAGGGAATATGTGAGCAAACACTAGAAGAGTCCGGACTCCAAGAGTTCTTTCTTTCATTCTGTCTGTCCTTAATTATCCCTAAAAAGGTGCAAAGCTGAGCTCCAGCAATTAGCTCACACACACACACACACACACACACTCTCACACACACCATCCTCTTGCCAGATGGAAGAGGAGGAGGAGGATGAGGATGAGGGGGGGAGGGCGAGGGTTGCTTCCATAATTTTCGTGGTGTGAAATTTTCTCAGCTTGTGTGAGTCTGAATACGAAACTCCTTTTGCAGCCAGATCCATCTGTTTACCACACAGCGCTTCATGTGAACTGGAATCTGTTGAATCCAGTTTAATTCGAGGGGAGGAGGGGGGAGGAAGGGGG